CTGCATTGTCTTGGCTGTGTGCTTAGGGTCTTTGTCCTGTTGGAAGGTGAACCTACACCCCAGTCTGACGTCCTGAGCACTCTTGAGCAGGTTTTCATCAAGGATCTCTCTGTACTTTGCTCCATTCATCTTTCCCTCGATCCTGACTAGTCTCACAGTCCCTGCCGCTGAAAAACAACCCCACAGCATGATGCTGCCACCACCATGCTTCACCATAGGGATGGTACCAGGTTTCCTCCAGACGTGACGCTTGACATTCAGGCCAAAGAGTTCAATCTTGGTTTCATCAGACCAGAGAATCTTGTTTTTCATGGTCTGAGTCCTTTAGGTGCCTTTTGGCAAACTCCAAGCGAGCTGTCATGTGCCTTTTACTGAAGAGTGTCTTCCGTCTGGCCACTCTACCATAAAGACCTGATTGGTGGAGTGCTGTAGAGATGGTTGTCCTTCTGGAAGGTTCTCCCATCTCCACAGAGGAACTCTCCCTGACCAAGGCCCTTCTCCCCCGATAGCTCAGTTTGGCCAGGCGGCCAGCTCTAGGAAGAGTGTTGGTGGTTCCAAACTACTTCCATTTAAGAATGATGGAGGCCAATGTGTTCTTGGGGACCTTCAATGCTGCAGAATTTTTTTGGTACCCTTTCCCAGATCTGTGCCTCGACACAATCCTGTCTCGGAGCTCTACGGACAATTCCTTCGACCTCATGGCTTGGTTTTTGTTCTGACGTGCACTGTCAACTGTGGGACCTTATATAGACAGATGAGTCTTTCCAAATCATGTCCAATCAATTGAATTTACCACAGGTGGACTCCAATGAAGTTGTAGAAACATCTCAAGGATGATCAATGGAAACAGGATGCACCTGAGCTCAATTTCGAGTCTCATAGCAAATGGTCTGAATACTTATGTAAATAAGGTATTTCTGTTTTTAATTTGTATTACTTTTGCAAACTTTTCTATAAACCAGTTTTTGCTTTGTCATTATGGGGTATTGTATGTAGATTGATGAGGATTTATTTTATTTGAATCCATTTTAGAATATGGCTGTAACTTAACAAAATGTGGAAAAAGGGAAGGTTTCTGAATACTTTCCGAATGCACTGTAAATCTCATCTATAGCTGTATTCCATCTAGTCACAACCCATATAGGCACTCTTTGAAAAGCATTCCTTCACAGGAATGAATGGAATTCTACAGTATTTCATTTAAATGTTTCAAGGACAAAATTACATGTATTTAAGTATTTTTTGTAGTAGTTGGGACAATAACATTAGTACTTTTAAAAAATTATGCTTCAAAGGAAAATGTTTTAATATACCCTCTAGTGTGTATAGAATATATAAATCATTGGTTGGGGCAGAAGCATGCATTCCCCATTGTTTATCAGTGCAATTTTGACAGCCAACTACAAGCTGAAAAAGTTTAAGAGGGTTTATCTACTGTTCCCTCATTAGATTTTAGCTCATCTCTCTCTGGCTAACATTAGTTGTTGTTCTTGTTGCTGTTGCTGTGCATAGGCAACTGAGGGAGAGATAGCCTACCTGTTCATGGTTGTTTGATCAATAGGACTGTAAAGTTCCCAAATGTAAGAGGACTCTCATGGTATTTACATATTTGCAGAAAACCATAAAGGTGTATTTTATAGCTTTTGCGAATGCTTTCTAATGATGCAAAGTTGCGCTGTTGCTAATGCCTGTGTCCAGTTCAAAGTGAATGATGGCAGGCAGGCCTGTCTGCCTTATTTGCATAAAGGCCTACTGTAGCTCTGATTGGCTATGGCGCACCGTCTGTGTAGAGTCTGGGCCTGGACAAGACACACTTTTTATTCATTTAGATTTACTGCAATGTCTATCAATTGTCCAGACGCACTGCCGCTTCCCCACTCTATATTGCTATGGTATTTTCCCAAATACCTTAATCTACGTCATTCCCAAACATTCTATGAAGTATGAAAACATGAAAATGACCATATCTACAGTGCATTCGGAAAGTATTCAGACACCTTCACTTTTTCAACATTCTGTTACGTTACAGCCTTATTCTAAAATGGTTTAAATTGGGGGGGTTTTCCCTCATCAATCTACACACAATACCATCTCAAGGATGATCAATGGAAACAGGACGCACCCGAGCTCAATTTCGAGTCTCATAGCAAATGGTCTGAATACTTATGTAAATAAAGTATTTCAGTTTTTTATTTTTAATACAGTACATTTGCAAAGATTTCAACAAACCTGTTTCCGCTTTGTCATTATGGGGTATTGTGTGTAGATTGATGAGAACAAAAACGTATTGAATAAGGCTGTAATGTAACAAAATGTGGAAAATGTGAAGGGGTCTGAATAATTTCCGAATGCACTCTATGTGCTCGCTTGTCAGAAAATGTAAAGAAAGGTGTCATATTCTTCCTGGGGGTGTATATGAACAGTATTTAATAAGCTTTCATGTTGCTAAAATGCTGTCAGTCCCACTTTAAGTCTCATATTAACTTCCATATTAACACCTTTAACAATCTAGTTTCATACCTACTGTTCCTGTCCACCTGTTCCCCTCCCAGTGGGAACAGGAGGGGAACAGTCCATCCAGAGTGCTCTGCCACTCTGGATGGACTGTGCATGAAAAACTAAGCCAAACATGGACTGTGAATGAAGAACTAAACCTAGCATGGACTGTGCATGAAGAACTAAGCCAAACATGGACTGTGCATGAAGAACTAAGCCAAACATGGACTGTGCATGAAGAACTAAGCCAAACATGGACTGTGCATGAAGAACTAAACCTAGCATGGACTGCGCATGAAGAACTAAGCCAAACATGGACTGTGCATGAAGAACTAAGCCAATCATGGACTGTGCATGAAGAACTAAGCCTAGCATGGACTGTGCATGGCGAACTCAACTTTGTCCTATTACTGCACCACTCAACCTGTACAGTATGACAACCTCCATTACAGTTAATCAGAGATACGTGTTACTCCTCCCTGCACACATGATTACTGTGATTTAACTAGGCATTGTTGGGAAGGGCTCGTAAGCAAGCATTTCACGGTAAAGTCTACACCCATTGTATTCGGCGTATGTGACAAATAAAATTGTATTTCATTTGCCCACAGTTTCAGTCGGTGTAACCTTCCTGCAAACATTCCCACCTCCACAACTCTCTCTCCAACGGTACATTTTCGTGATTAAATTTTTTATTTATTAAGCATGTAAATAGATACTGGGATTGAGACAGACAATAGGCTTTACAGACACTAAGACTGCAGATGTATACACTGAAAGAGTACATTATATATACAAAAGTATGTGGACACCCCTTCAAATGAGTGGATTCGGCTATTTCAGCCACACCCGTTGCTGACAGGTGTATAAAATCGAGCACACAGCCATGTAATCTCCATAGACAAACATTGTCAGTAGAATGGCCTTACTGAAGAGCTCAGTGACATTCAACGTGGCATCGTCATAGGATGCCACCTTTCCAACAAGTCAGTTCGTCAAATTTCTGCAAATTTCTGCCCCCGGTCAACTGTAAGCGCTTGTGAAGTGGAAACGTCTAGGAGCAACAACGGCTCAGCCGCGAAGTGGTAGGCCACACAAGCTCAGAGAGCGGGACCACCGAGGGCTGAAGCGCATAAAAATCGTCTGGTGGAGGAGGAATAATGGTCTGTGGCTAGGCCCCTTTGTTCAAGTGAAGGAACAATGACATTCTAGACGATTCTGTGCTTCCAACTTTGTGGCAACAGTTTGGGGAAGGCCCTTTTCTGTTTCAGCATGACAATGCCCCCGTGTACAAAGCGAGGTCCATACAGAAATGGTTTGTTGAGATTGGTGTGGAAGAACTTGACTGGCCTGCACAGAGCCCTGACCTCAACCCCATCAAACACCTTTGGGATGAATTGGAATGCCGACTGCGAGCCAGTTCTAATCGCCCAACATCAGTGCCCCACCTCACTAATGCTCTAGTTGCTGATTAGAAAGCAAGCCCCCGCAGCAATGTTCCAACATCTAGTGGAAAGCCTTCCCAGAAGAGTGGAGGCTGTTATAGCAGCAAAGGGGGGACCAACTCCATATTAATGCCTATGATTTTGGAATGAGTTGTTTGACGAGCAGGTGTCCACATACTTTTGGTTATGTAGTGTATCAATGTCAATTTACATCATTCGAGAATAAGGCAGAAGTTCTTTCTCCACACGTCTCAATTATAACCTCCAACTACCATAAGAGTCACATTGCCATTGCTCTCTAACCTAGTCGTTGTGTTGTGGCATATCATTAGAAACTTTAACCTTTAAACTTTTTCCTGGTCACCTTGTGACCTAAAGCCTACATTTGTTATATTGAGTGACAATTCTCGTAACCTTTTTTTTCTTCTTTTTTCGTGCGTCATTGGCAGATCATTTAGCTTATTTTAATCTATGGAAATGGAATTAAAGCTGCAATATGTAACTTTTAGGGCGACCTGACCAAATTCACATAGAAATGTGTGTTTTAGATCTGTCATTCTCATTGAAAGAACCAGAAAATGGCATAGTGATTTCTGCATAGTGCATCTTTACTACAAGTAATCTATTCAAGCTATTGTACATTAATAGTTGTGTTAAGGTAAAATATCTACAAAAATTTATTGAAATAAGATAATCACAATCTCGTTAGATAATACAGCTTGGTACAAGTCGCTCTGGATAAGAGCGTCTGCTAAATGACTGAAATGTAAAAATGTACAAAAAAACACTAATTCTAAGTGAATTATCACTCAATATAAGATATTTAGTCTTGCTTAGATTTCACAGTGTGAGCTCCAGGTCTTTATCATCAAAGGCATTTATTACTTGGTTAATGGTTAGTAAGAGGCTTTGTGGCCCGAGGATGCAGCAAGGACATCTGAGACATACAGGTTCCTGAGAGTGGTTGGTAGAACGCTGGTTCAGCCAATGGCTGAGTCCCAGGCAGCGCCCAGTATTCGGGCCAGGAGGATATAAAGCCAAGGTGGCAGAGCCAACCTCAGCCTATATGACAGGTCTATAGGTCAGCTCTGGACCTACACAAGGATTTAACTAAACAGAATCAGATGAACCAACACTAGTCAGTAATACCAGCACTCTAAACCTATAGCTGCCGATTGCTTCTGATACTTAGACAGTCTATAGGTCCTGACCAGAGGACTGAAGGACCTCAGTATTCCTTTTCTGTAGTGTTTGACCTGTATAAGCCAGTAGGTGTGAGGACCCTGTATTTACAGCCAGTCTGATGGAGAACGATGCCTATGACAGGATCGGGGACGAACCCCCCATCTATGAGGAGACGTCTTTCTCCGGTGGTACCACCTCTAACGGTAACGGCTATGGTAACGGAGAGCACCGGGCCGCCCGTCCGTCCGTGGTCAGTGCGTTTGGTCATGACACGCTGGACCGCGTGCCCAACATCGACTTCTACCGTAACGCTGGGAGCGTGAGCGGTCACCGTGCGGTCCGACCGTCTCTGCAGGAGCTCCACGATGTCTTCCAGAAGGTCAGTGTGTGTGTCGGAGTCCTCCTCACCTGCACCCACACCTGTACTCACACCTCTACAACACCTGCATCCGATTTAGACCTGTCTCTGTACATCTGTATATCTCGTACATCTCTTTTCCTTCCCTGCACACACATCACACAACTGTCTCCACCAAGTCAGCAGCATTTTAATTGGAATCAACTCTCCTTTAATCTAGACAATTCAGAAAGATCATTGAAATTCTAATTCAATAAATGGAAACGCATTCATTGCCATTCATTTTTTATGTAGAACATGTTTTGACATCAACATTGGCCTGTCTGTCTCTCAATTCAATTCAATTCAAAGGGGCTTTATTGGAAAGGGAAAAAATTTTACATTGCCAAAACAAGTTAAATAAATAATAAACAGAAGTAAGAAGAAACAAAAAACAACATCAACAAAAAAACAATAAAAGATGTCCAGTAAACATTGCACAGATAAAGGTTTGAAAAGGATAAAGACGTTTCAAATGGTATATTATCAGCTATGTACAGTGTTTTTAACAATGTGCAAATAGTTGTAGTACGAATAGTAGGGGAAGATAAGTAAACAGATCAATATTGGTTGTATTTACAATGTTGTTTTCATGGCTTTGTTTTTCTCTGTTGATCTGTTTATCTCACTCCCTCTTTCTCTTTCTCTCTCTGACTGTGTGACACAGATTAATATCATGTCACAACAGTGATTGGGAAACAGTCATGTCTGATCTAAAGAAGGGAAAGTCAGTTCCCACTGGGCACAAACTGGTTGAATCAATGTTGTTTCAACTTAATTTCTCAACGCATTGTGATGTGGAATCTATGTGGAAAATACATTGGATTTGAAAAAAGTCATCAACCGCTGTTTTGAGGGTAACATTTCAACCACAGGATTATGTGTCATCATGGAAACCAAATTTCCACATTGACAAACCTTGTATAAAATATGTTGAATTTGTACCTTTAAAACAAGGTCAGATCTTCAACATTATATCCACTATCAGTAGAAGAAGAAAAAAACTATAGGCTGGGCAGCACCTCCTACTGGAGAACTGATTCATCTACAGCTACCCTTTGGTCTCACATCCAGGGTTTTACCAAGCCCTGCTTAGCTATGATATTTGTCACTGACTATTACCAATGTGATTACGTGAGAATGATTGTTGAGCGATCTCCACTTAAAAACTAAATAGATTTACTGTTGCTATCGAAGTCATTCCAACGGGTAGGTTTAACAGAGCAAATAATCATATGTCATCAATGATGCTATTTAGGACTACAGTATATAGCATTTGCAAAGTCATCAATAGCTATTGTTTCAATTCAACCCAGGATTTAACAAAAAATAGACAATATGGTTTCAAGCTCTGGATGATTTCAAATGTAATTATATTTAGTGATTCTGAATTGTGTTTGGTTGTCAACGCAACCAAATATCAACATTTTAAGGAAATGTATCTTCTGCTTGGATAGTTCCATCTGTGCCACTGATTTAGTATGGGTTTAATTCCAGTTTGTTTTCAAATTAATAATTGTTGGATAAATAAATGTCTCCATCTCAATCAAAAATCTACGTTAAACAATAGGACTAAATCAAATTCAACTTTATTTAAAGTGCATTTAAAGTTTCATTTGACTTTAAATCAGTGGCACAGATGGATGAATCCAAGCAGAAGATAAATCTCCTTCAAATGTTGATATTTGGTTGCGTTGACAACCAAACACAATTCAGAATCACTTTTGAAATACAATAAATAGCCTATTAACTTGACGACAAGTTTACAAATGATATGTTTGATCCACGTCTCCAACTCAACCAAAAATAAAAGTTAAAGAATGGAATTAAGTCAGTTGCTCAGATGGAACTATCCAAGCAGTAAATACATCTCCTTTAAATATTAATATTTGGTAGCCTTGTCAACCAAACACAATTCAATATTACTTTTGTAATATAGTAAATAGCCTAAAGTTAAGGCTTTCTTCCAAACTAATGGAACATTCACCCTTAAAATGAGCAACACATCCATGGTCCCAGTTTGAGGTTACTGTAACTATACATGTCTTCTTTGATCATCATATAAACCGTGCATGTTCAAGATAGCATGCATAGGTCATTGACTACTCCTGAGTGGCGCAGTGGTCTAAGGCACTGCATCGCAGTGCTAACTGTGCCACTAGAGATCCTGGTTTGAATCCAGGCTCTGTCGCAGCCGGCCGCGACCGGGAGACTCATGGGCGGCGCACAATTGGCCCAGCGTCGTCCAGGGTAGGGGAGGGAATGGCTGGCAGGGATGTAGCTCAGTTGATAGAGCATGGTGTTTGCAACGCCAGGGTTGTGGGTTCGATTCCCACGGGGGGCCAATATAAAAAAATATATATATATATGTATTCACTAACTGTAAGTCGCTCTGGATAAGAGCGTCTGCTAAATGACTAAAATGTAAATGTAATTGCAGGTCTGTGGAGATCTTCAGAATTGCGGTAATAATCTGCCCAGAATCTCGAACGGCATTGATCATTGCACCATGTACTTTTAATGTAAAACTCAAGTGCAATCCAGGTAATTTGGTTCTGCTATTAGATGAAGGACAGTGATAAGTAACACATTAATCTGTTGTATAAATAAACAAAATATCTGACATTGTATTCCCATTTGAACTTTTGCTGTGCCTTTAAATGGTTGAAAGCACAGTGATATACATTTGGGTGACAACTAAACCAAAAATCAGACATTGTTTTTTCATTGGAATATGGTTGTACATTTAGATGGTTGAAAGCATAGTGATAACACATTGGAAATTCAACTAACTTTTGGCTCTCTTTTTGAGTGGGTGAATATAGGTTGTAATCTCATTGATCAACGTCTCAACCAAATATTACCCAATTATCCACGTTGAAATGACGTGGTGTGTCAAGTGGGTTGGCCTTGAATGGGTCAACTCATTCCATTTATAGTCCTCCTGTGTACCGAAAGAGAACAACATGAACTCTCTGGAGAGAAGAAAATGTTTTATAGTCTCAGATAGGAAGATAAGACAATGAGAAAAGAGAGAGGAGAGAGAGATAAATTGAGTTTATAGTCCTTTAATCATTCATCTAACTAGAAACATTCCTGCCACTTTCATTAACCGCAGTTCAACCATATTTCACACCCTATAAACCTCCTACCAACACCGGCACTGAACAGTCGTCAAAGACAGAGATAAGAATAGATCTACACAATGGTTGACATACTGACAGGCTAAAGTGTTTTATTGATTTTTTACACCTTTGGGTGACAGACAGTCTGTTATACCTGTCTGACAGCCACGCCACGCCCTACACCAGACAGAGATCGGAGCATCTCATTTCAGAGTTTGGTACTCATACGTCCTTTAAACACTTAATATTTGTCTTACAAAAAGTTTAAATTGGGTCTGTCCTGTTCTCTCTCTCTCTCTCTCTCTCTCTCTCTCTCTCTCTCTCTCTCTCTCTCTCTCTCTCTCTCTCTCTGAGTGCAGTCTTCAAGGACAAGCACACAGCATAATAATGTATTCATCTTCATCAGAATCAAACTGCACGACTCTCTCTCTCTCTCTCTCTCTCTCTCTCTCTCTCTCTCTCACACTCATGAACAAGAACAACGCGTCTCTTGTTTGATTGATTTAGAAAGAGAACATTTCAACAGTGTTCTGACCTCATAGACTTACCTATCCAACAGGAGGCCCAGAATTCTAACATAAAGTTACTGCACTGCCAACTCTCTCTGATTCCCTAAAGACAAAACTAATCTAAACTTCCTCTGAAGTTGAATAAGATGACCTACGGCCATTTCAACACATTCCTTCTTCCTCTACCAGCCTTATTCTTTCTCTACCTCTCTTCCTCTAGGTAGATTGGAGTGATATTTACCCCTGACAAGTATTTTCCTCTCCTCTTTCTCTCTCTAGAAAGGAAGGATCTCGGTGACGAACACGATGGAGGACGGCGAGGGGAGCGACGGGACGCCGTCGGACGACGTGGAGTCTGTCATTCCTCTGGACAACAAAGGAGGAGCCGTGAGGTTCGGCTGGATAAAGGGAGTCCTGGTTAGTAGAGATCAGTTACATTGGGCAGGGTTAGGAGGGTCCTGGGGAATAGAGATGCATTGTATTGGGGCAGGGTTAGGAGGGTCCTGGGGAATAGAGATGGGTTATAATGGGGCAGGGTTAGGAGGGTCCTGGGGAGTGGAGCTAGGTTATGGGCAGGGTTAGGAGGGTCCTGGGGAGTAGAGACAGGTTATATTGGGGCAGGGTTAGGGGGGTCCTGGGGAGTAGAGATGGGTTATATTGGGGCAGGGTTAGGGGGGTCCTGCAGAGTAGAGACTGGTTATATTGGGGCAGGGTTAGGAGGGTCCTGGGGAGTAGAGACTGGTTATATTGGGGCAGGGTTAGGAGGGTCCTGGGGAGTACAGATGGGTTATATTGGGGCAGGGTTAGGAGGGTTCTGGGGAGTACAGATGGGTTATATTGGGGCAGGGCTTGGAGGGTCCTGGGGAGTAGAGATGGATTATATTGGGGCAGGGCTAGGAGGGTCCTGGGGAGTAGAGATGGATTATATTGGGGCAGGGTTAGGGGGGTCCTGCAGAGTAGAGACTGGTTATATTGGGGCAGGGTTAGGAGGGTCCTGGGGAGTAGAGATGGGTTATATTGGGGCAGGGCTAGGAGAGTCCTGGGGAGTAGAGATGGGTTATATTGGGGCAGGGCCTGGAGGGTCCTGGGGAGTAGAGATGGGTTATATTGGGGCAGGGCTAGGAGGGTCCTGGGGAGTACAGATGGGTTATATTGGGGCAGGGTTAGGAGGGTTCTGGGGAGTACAGATGGGTTATATTGGGGCAGGGTTAGGAGGGTTCTGGGGAGTACAGATGGGTTATATTGGGGCAGGGCTAGGAGGGTCCTGGGGAGTACAGATGGGTTATATTGGGGCAGGGTTAGGAGGGTTCTGGGGAGTAGGGCCGGGTTATAATGTATGGTTATAGGGGTTATGTTGAGGGTGGATGGGTCACTGTAAGTGTGAGTGAGGATTGGTTATAGAGCTGGTTAAAGGGGGAGTGGGGTTGGGTTATGGGATCATGCTATGTGTGGTTGGAGTTGTCTGGATTCAGGTTGTGGGGCTGGCTAAATGGGATATAAATGGGATCCTGGTGAGGGCAGTTGGTTATGGGGACTGGCCTGTCCTAATGGGATCCTGGTGAGGGCAGTTGGTTATGGGGACTGGCCTGTCCTAATGGGATCCTGGTGAGGGCAGTTGGTTATGGGAACTGGCCTGTCCTAATGGGATCCTGGTGAGGGCAGTTGGTTATGGGGACTGGCCTGTCCTAATGGGATCCTGGTGAGGGCAGTTGGTTATGGGGACTGTCCTAATGGGATCCTGGTGAGTAGGAATGGAGTCTTAGAGAGTGTGGCTGGATATCGAGCAGGGTGAATGGGGAGTCCTGGTCTGTGTGGTCAGGTTATGGGAACCTCTTCTACTGTATATCACAACCCAGGATCAATTAGTTAACCTGCATACCTCAGTGATACCCTGACAGGTCACATGATCTGTCTGGAAAGACAGCCTCAGACACAGACACAGCGACAAAGAGATTCAGATTGTCATTGTGTCATAACCCAGTCTCTATCTAACCTAACTATGATATGTCTGGAAGCAAAGAGACAAGGACAAAGAGATTCAGATAGTGTATTTTGTGACAACTGGATTGTAATCCTGCCCTGTGTGTAATTCAGACCTAACCCCAGTCTCTACCTAACCTAACCTCCGTTCTCACCTCCTATCTCTCTCCTCTCCTCTCTCTCTCCTCCTCTCTCTCAACTCTCTCCTCCTGTCTCTCTCCTCTCTCTCTCCTCCTGTCTCTCTCCTCCTCTCTCTCCTCCTGTCTCTCTCCTCCTGTCTCTCTCCTCCTGTCTCTCTCCTCCTGTCTCTCATCCTGTCTCTCTCCTCCTCTCTCTCCTCCTCTCTCTCTCTCCTCCTCTCTCTCTCCTCCTCTCTCTCTCTCTCCTCTTTCCTCCTCTCTGTCCTCTTGTCTTTCCACCTCTCCAGGTGAGATGTATGTTGAACATCTGGGGTGTGATGCTGTTCATCCGTCTGTCCTGGGTGTTTGGACAGGCCGGCTGGGGTAAGTACAACACAGAGTAATAAAATAAGTACACCACGTACACTCTAAGAAAAGAAGAGTGCTATGAAGCACCATTTGTCCCTGTAGGACAACCCCCTGAAAATAGGCTCCCTTTTCAGGTCAGATGGAACCCTTTTGGTTTCCAAATAGAACCAGGTTCCAAAAAATGACCTGGGTTCCAAATAGAACCTATTAAAGGGTGGCATTTGGAACCAGAAATAGCTCTACCTGATCTTAAATGGGGAAACAATTCAGAGGGTTCCCCAATACTCCCCTACAGCAGTGGTAGTCAAAGGCGGGGTCGCGATGGGGTAACTGCAGTGGGGTCGCAAAAATGTAAACAAAATAAAAGATACAAAGATGAAGAGTACAGATTATTACTGTATATGGGACAATATACAAACGTTTTATTTTTATTGAGAAAATGTATTTATTGGTTTCTTTTCATTTTGATAAGAGATGAAAATGCAATGAATTGAAGATTTTAAGGTTGTGTCTTTAGATGTGGGGTGGGGTCGCAATAAATTATTGGGGGAAAAATGGGGTCCCCAGAAATTCTGGTGGAAACAATTGGGTCCCCGCTGAAAAAGTTTGAATACCACTGCCCTACAGGGACATTCTTTGTTGGACTCTTTGTTTCTGAGAGTGTAGACATGCAAAAATATGTACACCATAAAAAGAGGGCCAGTCAACCAGTCAGCGCTCCCAGTGTCCTTCACTCTGAGGTCAAAGCAAAGGAAGTAGTTTGAATGTACCAGGTGTGTGTATGTGTGTGTGTGTGTGTTTGTGTGTTTGTGTGTATGTGTATGTGCGTCCATCTGTGTGTGTGTGCGTGTCTGTTTGTGTGTATCAGGGTCGAGGCCCTCTTTATGGAGCATAACTAATGTCTTTCAGATAGCGGGCTGCAGTGCAGATAGAGACCATGACAGATATCAGAGTAAACAGCCTGCTGGGACTTACAGCCTGCAGGCCTATAGCACCATTAGTCCTGAGAATAGACCATTTGAGACGCATCGAAGGCTTCACTGTGTTTCTCAAGGTGTTAGAGGTGACTGGAGGGGACAGGAGGTGTGGTCAGGTGTTAGAAAGAGGAGGTGGTGGATTATTTCAGAACCAGCACAGTGTGACTAAAACATAACACTCTACACTCCATTACACTCAGGTTCTTAAAGTCCTACTCCAGTTTCCGACTTAGCTCATTTATCACCTGATTTACTTAACAAAAGGCACATCTCAATAGGTGGTCCAGGTATCCTCATGACATGGCACAAGTGGGGGTTGGCCTTTCCTCCTCTGTTCTCTAATGCTCCTGTATTGTTCCTCCAGCAAGGGAGGAGGCCGATGGCATCACAAATCCCCATCAGACCAACTCCTTGAATGCCCTACTCCTTGAAATTTGCAGTTGTGTCTAAAAAACACTATTTTGCTCAAAACATATATTTTCACCCTTTAGTATGTGTACTTTACTGTATTTATATCACTTTTCAACAGTCAAATTTCCAAAATTGCTGGAGGACCTTCTTTAAGAAGAAAATAAAGACATTTCAGTGTGAAATTCAAACTTTGCAAAACATTGTAGGCTATCACATGTAGACAGAATGTAACTGGCCAGAGCAGGAGTGAGTTGGATGAACTGGTATTGTGTGTTTTAGGTCTGGGCATTGTGGTCATTGCTCTGAGCTGTGTGGTGACCACCGTCACAGGTCTCTCTATGTCTGCTATCTGCACCAATGGAGTGGTACGAGGAGGTGAGTCAACCAACGCATCATCAACATGAGACAATGTTAGAAAGAACATGGAGAGCTCTGAGGTTACAGGAGGATGCACGATCATTACTGTAAAATATCATTTGTTCTCAATGACTTCACTAGGTTACAGGCCACACCCACAGATGTCAACTTCTAACACAGACAGTGTTTTATGAAACACTCTGACCTGACATGAAATCATGAAATCAATAGATTACTAATGTGATCATGAATTATCTACTGTGACATCATTCCTTTTCTAAGGAGGACCAGGCAATGGTCAAAATGTTATTAGCCCCGCTCCCTTCCTGCTCTGTGTGTCTACTGTATGTACAGGTATAGGAATGAACAATGACTGATTGATTGACTGACTGACTGATTGATTGATTGACTGATTGATTGACTGATTAATTGACTGATTGATTGACTGACTGATTGACTGACTGATTGACTGACTGATTGATTGGTTTCCAGGAGGGGCATACTACCTGATATCCCGTAGTCTGGGACCAGAATTTGGCGGTTCCATCGGTCTCATCTTCGCCTTCGCTAACGCTGTTGCTGTGGCGATGTACGTGGTGGGCTTCGCAGAGACTGTGGTGGACCTACTCAAGGTAATTAACATCTGTGTGTGTGTTTGTGTGTTTGTGTGTGTGTGTGTGTCAGATCACTGACTGTGGTCCCTCTCTCCCTCTCCCCCCTCTCTCTCTACCTCTCCCTGTGCATCTCTCTCTCCCCCTCTCTCCTTCCCTCTCCTCTACAGGAGAACGATGCCATCATGATAGATGAGCTGAATGACATCAGGATCATCGGCTGTATCTCGGTGGTACTGCTACTGGGGATCTCAGTGGCCGGGATGGAGTGGGAGGCCAAGGTGAGATACTACACTACGCTATGCTACACTACATTATACTACATTATACTACGCTACACTACATTATACTACTCTACGCTACATTACATTATACTACACTAGACTACACTTCACTACATTACATTACACTACACTACATTCTACTACGCTACACTACATTATACTACACTACACTACGCTACATTATAATACACTACGTTACGTTACATTACAATACACTACACTACATTACACTACATTATAATACGGTACACTACCCTAACTTATAATACACTACGCTACATTATAATACACTACGCTACGCTACATTATACTATGCTACACTACATTATACTCCGCTACACTACGCTACATTATAATACACTATGTTACATTATAATACACTACACTACATTATAATGCACTACGCTACGCTACATTATACTATGCTACACTACATTATACTCCGCTACACTACGCTACATTATAATACACTATGTTACATTATAATACACTACACTACATTATACTACGATACATTATACTACGCTACGCTACACTACATTATACTATGCTACATTATAATACACTACTCTACATTATAATACACTACGCTACACTACGCTACACTACATTCTACTACGCTACACTACATTCTACTACGCTACATTATAATACACTATGTTACATTATAATAAACTACACTACGCTACATTATACTACGCTACACTACGCTACCTTATAATACACTACGCTCCATTATAATACACTACGCTACATTATAATACACTACGCTACACTACATTATACTATGCTACACTACATTATACTCCGCTACACTACGCTACATTATAATACACTACACTACACTACACTACATTATACTACGCTACATTATACTACGCTACACTACATTATACTATGCTACATTATAATACACTACGCTACGCTACACTACATTATACTACACTAGACTACACTACATTATACTACACTACACTACGCTACATTATAATACACTACGCTACATTATAATACACTACAATACACTACATTATATAATACACTACACTACATTATACTACGCTACACTACATTATACTACGATAAATTATTTAATACACTACATTATACTAAGCTACATTATAATACACTACGCTACACTACATTATACTACATTATATAATACACTACACTACACATACACACTACATTATGCTACTCAACACTACGCTACGCTATACTACGCCACATTATATAATACACTACACATACACACTACATTATGCTACTCAACACTACGCTACACTGTACAACTAGAGACAGATCCACACATGGTTCAAATCCCCATGTTTCCAACAGAAAATTCATCAACTGATATCAACTTGACATCTTTCAATTCCATGTCTGATATTGACTGTAGCTGAGATGTGTATGAGTTCAGTCCGTATCACAGTCAGTTTCTCCTCTTCAGCTCTTGGAGAGGAATGGTGTGACCTTGTAACTGTCCTCTAGTTTCATAGGGAAGCTTTGTAACCCAGCCTAACCTGTTGATGTCCTGTCTCTTCAGGCCCAGGTCGGTTTGCTGATCATCCTCCTGATAGCCATCGCCAACGTCTTCGTAGGAACCGTCATCCCAGCCTCCACCGACAAGAAGTCCAAAGGATTCTTTAACTATGACGGTGAGGCAACAACAGAGGTTTCCTTCACATAGATGGAGGAATTAATCAAATACATAACCTTTATAATGCTCACATTACATTTATAATCAAGCTATATTAGTTTCATGAGTAGAGCCCTGAGTGTGTCCTGCTCAGGTCACATGGTCAGGAGGAGCTAATGTACTTTTCTATACTCTGTCAAATGACACACACAGACAGAATCACCAGTTTGACACATAGTCACCATTCTCACTCACATCTATTCTCTTCTCTCTCTCCCGCACAGTCAAAGTATTTATGGAGAACTTACCGCCGGACTTCCGAAACGAAGAGACGTTCTTCTCTGTGTTCGCCATCTTCTTCCCTGCTGCCACGGGTATCCTGGCTGGTGCTAACATCTCTGGAGACCTGAAGGTCTATTTCACAAATGACCCCCTATTTTCCTCTGTCTGACCACACAGATCTCAGTTCACTGTTAACATCCGACTCCAGAGTGATGTGTTCTTGTAGTCATGTTTCTGAACTTTGTATTATATGACATTTCAGATTTAGATATGATCATTTTCACAAAGCAGTTTTGATGTAGTGAACTGCTTTTTCAAAGTAGCTTTATTTCTCTTTAGGGTAGCTTTATAAACTACTGTATATTTCTCTTTAGGGTAGCTTTATAAACTACTGTATATTTCTCTTTAGGGTAGCTTTACTGTAGCTCAACTTCTTCCTGTGTGAAGTAATTGGTAGCTTGGTAAACTAAATTATATTTTCAGAGTAGCATTCCCAACACTGGAGAGGAAAGAGAGCGTGAAGGGGAGCGAGAGAGAGGTGGATGGCGAAAGAGAGAGAGAGAGAGAGAGAGAGAGAGAGAGAGAGAGGTGGATGGCGAAAGAGAGAGAGAGAGAGAGAGAGAGAGAGAGAGAGAGAGAGAGAGAGAGAGAGAGAGAGACTTTTGTTTACTATCTTCTTCACTTGCTTTGGCAATGTTAACACACGTTTCCCATGCCAATAAAGCCCTTAAATTGAATTGAATTGAAATTGAGAGAAAGAGAGAGAGAGAGAGAGGTGGATTGCGAAAAAGAGAGAAATAAATAAATACTTTACTACTCCTTATTGTCTGTGAACAGACACCTTCACTTTAAACAGCAAAGAATAATGATCCCATAGACCCAAACCACGTTATATCCGTACAGCTGTTTCCTCCAGCTATCACTTCTGCTGTTGTTAATGATGGTGTTATCTCTGGTTCTTCTGCAGGATCCCCAGGCTGCTCTCCCTAAAGGAACCCTGCTGGCCATCCTCATCACTGGAGTCACATACCTGGGAGTCGCCCTCTGTGTCTGTAAGGACTGCACTCACACACACACACACACACACACACACACACACACACACACACACACAAACACACACGACCCTCCCTAAGTGTTGTGTCTGTTCTGTTTTCTAATTGGTCAGCTGCAACGGTGGTGCGTGATGCAACAGGAAACATCAACAACACCATTGCCGCAGGGATGGACATGCTATGTAACGGTACCAACGCCGCCGCCTGTGAGCAGGGATGGGACTTCTCCTCCTGTGATGTCAACGGCTGCAAGTTTGGCTCCATGAACAACTTCCAGGTACAACAACAACAACAACAATGTAACAACAATCCAACAACACAGTTACACATTCAGTTCAACAACACAAAAATGCAACACTCATTACAACGCACAACAAAATAACCACACAGCAACAATACACACACACAGTACGGTGAAACTAAACAGACCCCTGTGTCTCCTCCTCCCCCAGGTGATGACCATGGTGTCAGGGTTCGGTCCTCTCATCACAGCAGGAACCTTCTCTGCCACCCTCTCCTCCGCCCTCGCCTCCCTCGTCAGCGCACCCAAAGTCTTCCAGGTCAGTCACACTACTACTGTCTGTCACCTGTCTGGTCACTTGGTCCTCATTCATCAGCTCTGAGGGTTCCAGGTACTATTACGAGGTCTATGATGAGTGAAATAGAGCCCCACCTTGTAATCCGTGATTCTCTTTTTCATGTTTCTTCTAGCCAGGTGACAACAATTGTCAAACTATGTTACAATCAGGTAACTCCCATTCCTCCCTCCTCCCCTCTTCCTCATCCTCCTCCTCTTCATCCACCCTTCTCTTCCTGCTCCTCCTCCCCTTCTCATTCCCTCCCTCCCCTCTTCCTCTTCCTCCTCTCAGGCTCTGTGTAAAGACAACATCTACGCGGCATTGAAGTTCTTCGCCAAGGGACACGGCAAGAACAACGAGCCAATCAGAGGCTACGTTCTCACCTTCATCATCGCTGTCGCCTTCATAATCATCGGTGAGTAAAGTCACTACACACACTGGACACGCAAGACATTTAAGATAAACCACAGTCGCCACTGAGTTTAATATTGGAAATGTCACAAACAAACAACATCTCTGTTGTGTGTCTCTCTCTCCCTGTGTGTAGGCGATCTGAATGTCATCGCTCCCATCATCTCAAACTTCTTTCTGGCATCGTACGCCCTCATTAACTTCTCCTGCTTCCACGCTTCATATGCTAAGTCCCCAGGTACACTCAGTCACTCAGTCACTCAGTCACTCAGTCACTCAGTCACTCACTCACTAATTCCCTCACTCATTCCCTCACTCACTCATTCCCTCACTCACTCATTCCCTCCCTCCCTCCCTCCCTCCCTCACTGTTGTCTCCTGTGATATCTCCCCTGTGTAGGCTGGAGGCCAGCATACAGGTACTACAACATGTGGCTGTCTCTGTTTGGAGCGGTGCTCTGCTGTGGTGTGATGTTTGTCATCAACTGGTGGGCTGCTCTCCTCACCTACGCAATCGAGATCTTCCTCTATATCTACGTCACCGTCAAGAAGCCAAGTGAGACACAGACATTGATTTGCATCAAGCTGACATTAGAATACATATAGTATGAACCAGTGTCCATTATGACATGGGATGGAGGCCTACATACTGGAGAAGAAAAGCAGGGTGATTTGAGAATACCGGTGCTGGGCTAAAGTAATACTGTGATAAAGGAATGAGTACATAGGGATGACATAAGATGTACATAGCTCCTACATATGACATACATAGCATCTCTAAGTGCAGTGTTAACATCAGTGTGTTCTGTTGTCCTCAGACGTGAACTGGGGCTCGTCCACTCAGGCCGTGACGTTTGTCAGCGCGGTCAACAATGCTCTGTCACTGACCGGAGTAGAGGACCACATTAAGAACTTCAGGTGAGAGCCAACAGAGGCCACTAGTATTTCACCTCTTACTATATTGATGGATGGCATTGTTTACCGCGCTGACTAACTCTGTGTGAGGTTAGAGGTGAAATTAAAAGAAGGGGACAGAGACAATACTGTGAACACAAAACCATATTCTTAAACTGCTCTGCATTCTAACGTGAAAGTGTAGAATGTTAAGAAGACTAATCATAATGGGATTTAGCTAACTAACTGACTGCTATCCCCCTTCCTCAGACCTCAGTGTATAGTGCTGACAGGAGCACCTAAGAACAGACCAGCCCTCCTGGACCTGGCTCATTGCTTCACTAAGAACTACGGACTCTGTCTCACATGTGAAGTCTTTGTGGTAAGAGGACAGACATTTTATTTCAAAGTCACCAAGTTCTTCATCCTTCACACACACATATGCACATGCACCCACACACACACAGCACTATGATATAATATAATATCCCCCTCCTATCCCTCCCCAGGGCCCCAGAACAGAGACATTGACAGATGTGAACGCTGGAATGGAGAAGAACCAGATGTGGCTGAATAAGAAGAAGAGGAAAGCCTTCTACGCTGCCGTGGCCTGTGACTCCTTCAGACAGGGAACTGAGAACCTCCTGCAGGTACAGCTCCACATCTACTACCTGGACATATAATCACCTCTAATAGATACACATTTCAACGTAGAATTGTCTCCGATACACATATATGGGGTACACATGGGGTACGACTCTGTGGTAGCTAATGACTACTGCAGGAACCTACACATGGACTAGTCATCTGTAATAGATAACACCTCCATTATGATAGGAAGGTTTTCTATTGTGCTTTTATTATTGCCTCTTACATGAGTACAATAAATACATTTATGGAGATATCAGGCCTAATGGTCAAAACAGTTTTCTATATAATATCACTATTCAGCAGTTACCATGTCATGGTTCAAAGTGGTTCAAAGTTAATTAGACTACAGGACAGGTTGGGTTGGTTGTCTAAAATGTTGGGCTGAAAGTTACTCAATTTCCACATTTATGCCACAACAGGCTATGCTAGCTGAGATGAGACTTAGTGCTAAAGCATAAGAAACAAGAACAGTCTGGCAGCGAAGCGGCGTAGACTAGTCTTGACTAGTTTTACACCGTTTTAATACAGCTTTCCTCCCTTCAGCCCAGCCAGAACTGGTATGATGTATTAGTTAATGAGGCAGGGAGAAGACAGAGTTATGGTCCAGTTATGGTTGTCTTTATCACATGGAACAGAGATAAGACCGTGCAGCGTGGTCTGGGTGGTCCGGAGGAGCGCTAGCTTTAAAAGAGAAGCCAGATTAAAGAGAGCTGTAGTCTATCAGTGATTAACACAATGGTGAATGAGATCCTGCAGACAAATACCTCTTCAGAGATCAGGGAGGTTGATCAGGCTGTAAAACTAAGCACTTTATAGTATTGTTTACTAGGCTATTCTTAACTTCTGTGTTTTGGAATGTTACTTTCATTATTAAAAGACTGTGATTGCTGGAAAGTGGAAACACTTAATTTTTGGGAAGAAGGTTTCACACCTTTCTGAGTAGGATGCGGTCTTGGGGACAAATACATTACATATGTAAAATACTTCCAAATGTGACCTTGATTTAAGTTGACCAGCATGCAGGGTGGGTGGAGTTTGCAGTTTGGAGATTATTCCATTGGTTTTATTGTACCAGGCAGAAAAGCTATAAGTATTTTCCATGTTTTTGACCCAGGTCTGCTTGAATGCAAGTGTCTGCTATAACCTGTTGTCCCTCTCTGTCCTAGGCTTCAGGTCTGGGTCGTCTGAAACCCAACATTCTGATGATGGGCTTCAAGAAGGACTGGAGGACAGCAGACACAGCCGACGTACAGAGCTATGTAGGAGTACTGCAGTAAGTCACACTCACACACTGAGTGGAACACCTGCTCTTTCCATGACATAGACTGACCAGGTGAATCCAGGTGAAAGCTATGATCCCTTATTGATGTCACCTGTTAAATCCACTTCAATCAGTGTAGATGAAGGGGAGGAGACAGGTTAAAGAATTATTTTTAAGCCTTGAAAGAATTGATACATGGATTGTGTATGTGTGCCATTCAGAGTGTGAATGGGCAAGACAAAATATTTAAGTGCCTTTGAACAGGGTATGGTAGTAGGTGCCAGGCGCACCGGTTTGTGTCAAGAACTGCAACGCTGCTGGGTTTTTAACGCTCAACAGTTTCCCATGTGTATCAAGAATGGTCCACCACCCAAAGGACATCCAGCCAACGTGCAATTCAATGTTTGGAAAGTGTTCCTAATGTTTGGTATACTCAGTGTACACACAAGTGCAGACACACTCACAAAATAAGCCAAGATTAGTGCTAACTGAGTGTTATTAAAGTGTGTGTTCTGTGCCGGGTGTGTGTTTTTAGCGATGCATTTGACTTTGAGTACGGAACCGTGGTACTAAGGATGAACCAGGGACTGGACATCTCACATATCATAAAGGCTCAAGGTGAGTACACACACACACACACCACTGTATGAAACAGAAGCAGTCAGGATACTCATGGTTTGTTGTGTGGCTGGTTTCATATAACAACCCCAATCATACAATGACTATTGATAACATTGACAACATTGATAAAGTTGATAAGGTGAGCTCTTTGGTTCATAGATCAGAGGCAGTAGATGAAGGTTGTATCTAATCAGCTCCTAGCAATAACATCTACTGAATAAGCTGTTATCAACAGAGCCACTGCAGGGCTATGGGCCCTGGTCAAAGGTAGTGCACTATATAGGGAATAGGGTGCCATTTGAGACACAACCCACTAATCTAATTGTCACTCCTGTTCTGGAGAGATACAGAGTGTGCAGGCTTTAGTTCCAGCCTAGCACTAACACACCTTATTCAACCACTCCAGGGCTTGGTGATTAGTTGATGGATGTGTTAGTGCAGGGTTAGAACAAACATGTGGACTGTGTGGTGGACCCCCAGGAGAGGGTTGGGAAACAGTGGGCTAATGTGAGGGAGATGGGTCATATTCACTAGGGACAAAACTGGAGAAAATGGACTGAAACAATGAGGGACTACCTAAACTTAATTTATCTTTTTCCATTGCAAAACACTTTGCTATGGCTACGGTGTGCACTAATGATTAGTACCCTGTTGTAACGTGTCTCTCTACCGCCCCACAGAGGAGATGGAGAGAGAGGCCCAGGAGCAGAAGGATCTGGAGAAAGAAGAGCTGGCTGAGGAGAATAAGGGGAAATCCATCTTCAGGAAGTCACGGAAGTTATCTACACAAGGCCTCACTTCGAGAGGTACCAGATCACACACACACGCACACACACACACGCAGTGTTCTAAAAGCCCCAAAATAGTTTTCTGCCATCAGACCAAAGAGTTCATTCATCTAACAAATGAAACCAACATCTATTTCAGGAAACTGTTTTGTTTTCTGCTCAGAGAGAACCATCCTGTCACAATCACAATACAATCTAATCAGCTGTTCTCTTTAAAGGTGTAATCCAATAACACACTCACTGTCATTGGCCTCTGGAACAAAGAGTACAGTTCTTCAGATGTGGAACATTTAGACCTACTGTTGTTACAGAAATCACAACCTGACAGCCTCTCCATCTCCCTGTCACACTGGGTTCTGTTTCTAACAGACAGACACACACAGACAGACATAGTGAGAGTGAGAGTGAGAGTGAGAGTGAAAGAGAGAGAGAGCTGAGCGTACCTGGTTGTACATTACTATTCCTGTATTATTAAACACATTGTTAATGTTTTTCTCTTTTATTTTCTCCCCCCCCCTCCCCCAGCATCCGTGAAGACCCCGCAGTCTCCCCAAGCAGTGGTGGTGAATGAAAGGCTGGTGTCCACCAGCACTCAGTTCCAGAGGAAACAGGGCAAAGGAACCATCGACGTTTGGTGGATGTTTGATGACGGAGGTAGGGGACCTTTCTTTATAGCAAGCAAGTTTATTTATATAGCACAATTCATACATCAAAGCAATTCAATGTGCTTTACAAAGATGTTTATCAAAAATAATGAAAACATCATAATAATAAATTAAAAATGGGATAAAAACATAGGAAGTGACACATTATATACCACAGCATGTCTATATCACTCTTCATTATATACCACTCTCTCGCTGTCTGACTTTCTGTCTGTCTGTCTGTCTGTCTCTCTGTCTAACTTTTTGTCTGTCTGTCTCTCTCTCAATTCAATGTATACTCTCTCCCTCCCCCCCCTCCCTCCCCCCCCTCCCTCCCTCCCTCCCTCCCTCCCTCCATCCCTCCCTCCCACTCACTCTCAGGTCTAACCCTACTGCTGCCCTACATTCTGACCACCCGTAAGAAGTTCAAGGACTGTAAGATGAGGATCTTCATCGCTGGCCAGCAGGGACGCACCGAGCAGGACAAACACGAGTATGTATGATCAATTTCAATCATTTATGAATAGAGGGAGATCTGTAAATCAAATCAATTTTATTTGTCACATACACGTGTTTAGCAGATGTTATTGCGGGTGTAGAAAATGCTTGTGCTTCTAGCTCCGACAGTGCAGTAATATCTAACAAGTAATATCTAACAATTTCACAACCTATACCCAATACACACAAATACAGTCTAATCATCAACAACCACCAGCCTGGTCCCAGATCTGTTTGTACTCGTCACTACTCCATTGCTGCCATTGTTATGCCAAACATTTCAATTTCATAAGGAGTTGGCAAGAGAGCAGAAACAGACTGGCTGAACAAGCACATCTTTGGAAATAAGACATGTTATATAGCAGTGCATATCAGTGGTGATCAGTGTGTGACTATGTGTGTCTGTGTTTATAGGATGAAGTCTCTGCTGGAGAAGTTCAGGATCAAATATGCAGACATCCACGTCATCGATGACATCACCCAAAACCCCAACACTAGCAGGTAATATATACACGCACACACACAGAGAGACAACCCTGGGGAGATGTGATTGCTCACACACACACACACACACACACACACTGTCGCTCACATGCTGTGGCGGGAGAGATTCCAGACATTCCATTCTGTAGCCGTGAGCTCACTCCCGGCTGACCAACCACACGTCAGGGATGTGATCAGCAGTCAGCCCAAAGCAACACCAGTCAGGAAAAGGATAAAGGCTCTATTATAGTGAGACAGTTAATGACAATATAAAAACAGACGCACAACTTTGTCTCATTCAGTATTTACACAAGAAAATACAACTCACATGAATGAATTTATCATGGCTAATCATCCCCAGCTTCAAACTGGTCCATCTCTGGTGACAGAGTAGCCGGTTTAGTTCTGGGTGCCAAGATTAATGATAACATGCACAAGTAAGACATAATATTCCTGATATCTGAAGTCAAAGTATCAGTGATTAATACCTGATTAATCCTGCTAACTGCTGTCTGTGTTCGTCCCCCAGCTGGAAGATGTTTGAGGACATGATCGAGCCGTTCCGTCTTCACGAGGGGTCAAAGAGCACCACTCTGGCCGAGGCTCTGAGGAAAGACAACCCCTGGAAGATCTCTGACGCCGAGCTGGACACCTTCGAGGAAAAGGTGGAGTCTAGAGACAGACCAGTGACTGCTCACCACAGAGACTTGTAGAGACAGACCAGTGACTGCTCACCACAGAGACTTGTAGAGACAGACCACTGCTCAGTGCTCACCACAGAGACTAGTAGAGACAGACCACTGCTCAGTGCTCACCACAGAGACTAGTAGAGACAGACCACTGCTCAGTGCTCACCACAGAGACTAGTAGAGACAGACCACTGTTCAGTGCTCACCACAGAGACTTGTAGATACAGACCACTGCTCAGTGCTCACCACAGAGACCAGGACCAATAACTTCTACTGATTATCAACCACATACTGTGCTCATTGCAGTACAACATGAATGAACATGCTCAATCAGTGCTTGACTTAGGCAGGAGCTTACCGGAGCTGAGTACCAGCACCTCAAATGTTCCACTTCTTTAACTTTTTTTCCACTTATAGAATATTAGCTCAAAAGTATTTTTGGAGCACCTGCACCTAAATATAAACAGTACCGGCACCCAAAATGAGTACCAGAACCTATTTCAGTCCAAGTCAAGCACTGTGCTCAACTTTATCTTCTTGTAGTTCAATTTAATGTATTCATCTGGATGATAGAATCCAACAGTCCCATGATGCAGTAGCAACAGAAGTAGACAGCTGTGTTTTCACTGTAGCCTTTAGTCGTTGGTTGTCATACCAACCATGTGACCCACCACCACTGTGTCCTCTCCCCTCCAGACCAACCTCCAGGTCAGGCTGAATGAACTACTGCAGGAGAACTCCCGAGCTGCCAACCTCATCATAGTGTAAGTACAGTATACTGTAGAGTTTTTCCTGGTCAAGTCACCATGTGTTCAGGAAAAACTCTAGGCCCTAATTATAAGAGATACCAACAAGAGCCTTATCATCATCTATCAATCTCTCTGTAAATTTTTTATAAATATGATAGTCCAATGCCGTCAGAGAACTATGAAGCTAACTGAGGTATATAACAATAATAATAATAATAATAATAATAATTTGGTTGGTGCTTATATCTGTCCTGTTTCAACTGTGTATTAGACGCATGTGTGAAATGCCTGTTATTTGTTTTGCATATCCCTGAGACACCCACGGCCATATAGTGGTGACCCTGCTGCTAACATCCAGCTGTTTAGACAACTTAGGTTTAATACTGTATTTCCCACTTTGCAGGAGTATGCCTATCGCCCGTCTAGGCTCAGTCTCTGACCACCTCTACATGGCCTGGTTGGACATCCTCACCAAGAACCTCCCTCCCACCATATTGATCAGAGGCAACCACAAGAGCGTCCTCACCTTCTACTCATAGACCAACCCTCTCAGCAGTCACTAGATGGCCATGCCACAAGGGACAACCATGTCACTGTCATCAATATCCATGAGTTAGTTGCTATTAGTTTAAATTAAAAGGTTATGGTTAGGGATAAGGTTATGGGAAAGGTTGAAGGTTCGAAAGTGATGCACTTCCGTCTTTTCTAGCATGACCACATAGTGACGACGCAAAACACAGACATATGGACACACGGACAGGAAACTGCCTGGGATGGGTCAGTTACACTGCCAGTGTCTATGCTGCACTCTGTTGGAATTGTACATGTGGTGCATAATTGGGGGTCCAAACCCCGAATCGGGCTGGAACACTCGTACTATTATATTTGAGTCATGTAACAGAAGCTCTTATCCAGAGCAACTTACAGTTAGTGTTATTGTCAGGGATATTATTATTCTGACATATTATTATTATTCCAATTTTAAGAGAGCTATAGCTCTTAAATAGTTAGACCTACAGAGACCAAACTTGGTGGGATGTTGTAAATTGGTTGCCCAATACATCTGGTAAATCTTTGGTATATGACACAGAGTACAAGGACCGGGATGTTAGATAAACAGACTGGTCCCAGGCTAGTTGGAGCCCCCGGCTGGCTATGCATCTCAATACTGTATACTTTTTCCTTAAGTGTACGCTTGTCCACTACCCACATAGTGGTCCTCTGTAGCTCAGTTGGTAGAGCATGGTGCTTGCAATGCCAGGATAGTGGGTTCGATACCCGGGATCACCCATACATAAAACATTTTTGGCACGTATGACTGTAAGTTGCTTTAGATAAAAGTGTCTGCTAAATGGCATAAATTATATTATGAGATTGGTGTAAGAGCAAGAGATTGAGTCAAGACCGGAACCTGTAATTCATACATACAGGCATGCTCTTCCATAGTTTTCTGCCATGAGGCCAGCATGGGTTAGTGCCTTCGTCTTGTAATACATACATGCCGGCCCAGGTTCAAATCCCACTGCTGCTTTCAGACAGACATCCCTAGGCAATGTGGTATTGTTGTAGCTGAATTTGATGACTTAAATAAGGGCGAAATATTTGAGAAAGGGTCAAAAGGCTTGGGCCCGGGTCATTGCTACTAGCCTATATGTATAATTCTTCTTCTTTTGGGGGAACAACAGATGATATACACTGAGTGTACAAAACATTAAGGACACCTGCTCTTTCCATGACAGACTGACCAGGTGAATCCAGGTGAAAGCTATGATCCCTTATTGATGTCACTTGTTAAATCCACTTCAATCAGTATAGATGAAGCCCTGTGTAGCGCAGTTGGTAGAGCATGGCGCTTGCAACGCCAGGGTTGTGGGTTCGATTCCCACGGGGGGCCAGTATGAAAATGTATGCATTCACTAACTGTAAGTGGCTCTGGATAAGAGCGTCTGCTAAATGACTAAAATGTAATGAAGGGGAGGAGACAGGTTAAAGAAGAAATCTTAAGCCTTGAGACAACTGAGACGTGTATGTGTGCCATTTAGAGGGTGAATGGGCAAGACAAAAGATTTAAGTGCCATTGAACAGGGTATGGTAGTAGGTACCAGGTGCACCGGTTTGTGTAAAGAACTGTAATGCTGCTGGGTTTTTCCACGCTCAACAGTTTCCCATGTGTATCAAGAATGGTCCACCACCCAAAGGACATCCAGCCAACTTGACACAACTGTGGATAGCAAGGGAGTCAACATGGGCCAGCATCCCTGTGGAATGCTAATTGAGGCTGCTATTCTGTAGGGGTGGGGGGTGCAACTCAATATTAGGAAGGTGTCCTTAATGTTTTGTACACTCAGTGTATGTAGGCTAGTATGCACAAAATATGATGGTGTTCTAGGAAACTAACATTTTAGCAAACAAATTACCTATGCAAAACGTTTTTTTTATTCTATTCAAATGGTAACAGTGGCGTTGATAACTTGATTAAGAAAAATTAGGATTAGTTTGATTTCCATTGAAGAATACTGTATAATACTTTGTATAGACGTGTATATTCCACACAAGTAGCTACTAGTTGAATGTCTAGGGAAATAATGAAGGGATCATTTACTACCTTAATGCACACACACACACACACACACACACACACACACACACACACACACACACACACACACACACACACACACACTGTGATTAAAATATATTCAACAGAACAGAAAAATGTAAATCCACTTATGTGCTGTATATAGAAATGCTTGATTTATTTCTGTTTTTTAACCATTGTCTTTTATAAGACTCAGTCCTTATCATATTTAACTGCAATATTTTGTCATCATTAATTAATGTATTATGAAGAAGGAATAAAATGTTGAGTTACTCTTATTTTTCCTCATCATTTGTGTCCATCAAGACGGTGGTCAGACGCATTACATTAGAAGACAATAGGTTGGTTACATTATTCTCAAATGTAGAAATATAGAAAATAATGCAGAATAATAAAATAGTTGGGTAAGCCAACCTTTCTTCAGTCCTTGGTTATTTGCAATGATTTATATATACACTAGATGACGAATAGGGGGCGCCGTTTTGAAGCCACTGAACCTCCATCTTGGCACTCCTACACGTTGTAAAAGATATTTTGAAAGCTATAGAAATGCATTTACTAATGACTACATTTGTTTTTGCCACGTATATTATATTACATACACCTTAATGCATACTTTTAAATTATATTATGTGAGCCAAACATAAAAAATAAAAAATATATCCAAATATTTTTGAGATGACTAATGATAAGAGTCCCCACTACAACAACAAAAATACTTAAATGCATGTAATTTTGTCCTTGAAACATTGAACTGAAATTCTGTAGAAATCCATTCATTCCTATGGAGCAGTGCTTCCCAACTCCTGTCTTCCAGTACCCCCCAACAGTACATATTTTTGTTATGGCCCCCTGGACAAGCACGCCTGATTCTACTACTCAACTAATCAACAAGCCCTTGACACGTTGAATCTGGTGTTTTCGTCCAGGGCTACAACAAAAATGTGTGCTGTTGGGGGTACTCAAGGACCAGAGTTGGGAAACACTGCTATGGAGGGAGGACTGCGCCTACTGGGGAGTGCCAATATGGCCGACCAGTGGCTTCAAAGCCTCTCAATGGCCAATAAATAGCATCAGTAATCCAGGGGTAATATACATAATTGGTTATTAGCCCCGAGCTACAAGTCTTCCATTACACAACAGAGGAGCATGAGGGAAGCTACCTGGCCTGGGAGGGACACACATGGGGGGGTAAAAGCCAATTTATGCTTGATCCGAAAATGTGGTCGGAGGCTCCGTATGGAGGGTGTGATGCAATTGCGGAGCGTCCAGAGGCATGCAAATTGAGCTCCGTACCGCATTGCGTCTCCCAAATTTTGTAACGGAGGGCTCTGTATAGCTCCGCATTGACATGATTGGTTGACGGTATGTGAGGGCGGGAGGTCCTGTATAACACAAACTCACTTCCTTGACAACTTCCTTCACAACAGCTCTGCGCTGCTCCGTGAAGCGCAAGAGGTATGAATACCCTGACTTCTGCAGAGGCCATATCACCGTAAATGCTGCACGGCCAATGCAGACGTCAGATTGACCATGCAGTGCCTTTTAGGAGGAGCATCATGCACACATCACTCTAGCTAGTGTTGGGATCTATTTTCTTATAATTAGATGTTATGCCTAGCTTAAAAATAATACATTAATGATTAAACATAATAGGTTTGTGCTGTACTGATATACAGTGGGGAAAAAAAGTATTTAGTCAGCCACCAATTGTGCAAGTTCTCCCACTTAAAAAGATGAGAGAGGCCTGTAATTTTCATCATATGTACACGTCAACTATGACAGACAAATTGAGAGAAAAAAATCCAGAAAATCACATTGTAGGATTTGTAATGAATTTATTTGCAAATTATGGTGGAAAATAAGTATTTGGTCACCTACAAACAAGCAAGATTTCTGGCTCTCACAGACCTGTAACTTCTTCTTTAAGAGGCTCCTCTGTCCTCCACTCGTGACCTGTATTAATGGCACCTGTTTTAACTTGTTATCAGTATAAAAGACACCTGTCCACAACCTCAAACAGTCACACTCCAAACTCCACTATGGCCAAGACCAAAGAGCTGTCAAAGGACACCAGAAACAAAATTGTAGACCTGCACCAGGCTGGGAAGACTGAATCTGCAAGGTAAGCAGTTTGGTTTGAAGAAATTAACTGTGGGAGCAATTATTAGGAAATGGAAGACATACAAGACCACTGATAATCTCCCTCGATCTGGGCTCCACGCAAGATCTCACCCCTGGGGTCAAAATGATCACAAGAACGGTGAGCAAAATCCCAGAACCACACGGGGGACCTAGTGAATGACCTGCGAGAAGCTGGGACCAAAGTAACAAAGCCTACCATCAGTAACACACTATGCCGCCAGGGACTCAAATCCTGCAGTGCCAGACGTGTCCCCCGTGCTTAAGCCGTACATGTCCAGGCCCGTCTGAAGTTTGCTAGAGTGCATTTGGATGATCCAGAAGAGGATTGGGAGAATGTCATATGGTCAGATGAAACCAAAATATAACTTTTTGGTAAAAACTCACTCGTCGTGTTTGGAGACAAAGAATGCTGAGTTGCATCCAAAGAACACCATACCTACTGTGAGCATGGGGGTGGAAACATCATGCTTTGGGGTTGTTTTTCTGCAAAGGGACCAGGACGACTGATCCGTGTAAAGGAAAGAATGAATGGGGCCATGTATCGTGAGATTTTGAGTGAAAACCTCCTTCCATCAGCAAGGGCATTGAAGATGAAACGTGGCTGGGTCTTTCAGCATGACAATGATCCCAAACACACCGCCCGGGCAACGAAGGAGTGGCCTCGTAAGAAGCATTTCAAGGTCCTGGAGTGGCCTAGCCAGTCTCCAGATCTCAACCCCATAGAAAATCTTTGGAGGGAGTTGAAAGTCCGTGTTGCCCAGCGACAGCCCCAAAACATCACTGCTCTAGAGG